CCGCTCTTCCGATCTTGGTTTTTTACTGGCGATTGTTGTTTTTTTGTTTTCTGTAAAGTAAACTTATTTTCCGTCACTGTGTTCGAGTGAAAGACTTCACATGGGGGCCAAGCCGGCTCGAATTCAGTGAAAAAAGAACTAGTCAGCTATCGACCCAGAAGTGGTCAGTAGTCAGCAATCAAAGACCCAGAAGGTCAACAGTCAGAGTGATCAGCGATCCAGAAGTGGTCACGCTGCGCAAATCACTGTCTAGAAGCGGACACCAGCCGCGGTCACTAGCTAGACCGTTGATCACTGAACTAACGTCGTTCCGGGAATTACACATTTGCACAGGAGCATCTATATACAAGGCTATCAAGCAAGTGTTTGCAGAGAAAAAGCAAGCTAGTATGTCGGACGACGAAGATTTACAGAATAGCGCGGACCGGACGGAGAACGTCGACCCAAATGTCGCTGAAGAAGCCACTTTGCTGAGCCCAATGGTAAGCACATTTGAAAGAGCTCTAGAAAGGGTAAGGTCTGAGTTGCGTAAAGAGGACTGTCGCAGATGACGCGATGAGCACTGCATTCAGAACAAATAGCGAAGTGCGAGAAAGAGTATATAGCGCAATAAACGAGCAAGTCCAATTAGCGGAGTGTCAACTAGACATTGTTAGAGCTCTAGCGCTAAAAAATAAGCAAGCATTAGGCCGCGAGAGCAAAGAAGTAGTCGCGCTACTTTGTGATCTCTACGGCTGCGATGCTAAACGAGTGGTTCACCACGCAACCAAGCAGGAAGAAAAGATAGAGATGTTGCAGGCACAACTCTTGCGATCGAAAGCGGCGGACCGTGAGAAACTCCAAGAAAGGAGGCGGATGATTCTGGCGGGTCAAGAGCCCATGGAAAGTGAGTTGAAACGAACAAAATACTTGCAATGACATCTATAATACTGAAGATATTCAGCGGACGCCGCGCATGACATCAAAAGCGATGGGATCTTCGTCAAATGGGCAGCAAGGTCAGTTCCACTCACTTAGAACTAGCAGTTCAAGCAGTGATGAATCAGAATTGTCTTTGCAAAGCGAGTTGAGCACAGCACGCCTCATGAACGAGTACATGCGAGCGGCTGCTATGCCTGATGTCAAACCATTCGCAAATCGCAAAGGAGAAAAGTTTACAGATTTCCTAAGACAGTTTAGGCTAAAATACCCAGAGACAACATGGCGAGATAGTGAAAGGCGTGATATCTTGGTAGGCCTATTAGAGGGGGAAGCAAGAATGCACTATAAAACCCTCCCAAAGGATGTCCGAAACGGGTCGTTACAAACATTAATAGAAGGAATGAAGAGAAGGCTGAAAGGTAGACGGGCCGGAAGAGCAAGCCAAAGCTATGAGAAAACTCCGAACATACGGAAAAAAGGAGATCAGTCAGTGTTACAGTTCTGCCTAGAGTTAGAAACGTTATCGTGTAAAGCGTACCCAAATGCTGATGATCACACCTTATCGCTCATGCGGGCAGAGATTCTGCAAGAGCAACTGAGCCATTGGACAGAAGCAATACAGCTTCTAGAGATACTGGAGACGGAAACTAGTGGGAAGGTTTACGAGAAAATGAGGGAAACCGCGTTGAGAATCGAGCGATTGAGGGAAAACAGTTCGCTCGGCAGGGCGCATAGGCGCCACTGGGATTCAGGGCGAAAGGGCCCACCCCAAGGCATGAACGGGAGCAACAAGGCCGCCCCAACACCGGACAAACAAGACGGCAAGAAATTCAACGGACGCGCACCACAAAGGACTCAGAAGGACGTCACCTGTACGAACTGCGGCAAAAGAGGCCATGAAGCGCAAGAGTGCTGGAGCAAGAAAAGCGACCGACAGGCAGTGTCATTCAGCGCGACGCTGGACACATGGTGCTGCAAGACAATACAATCAAAAGCAGGAAAGTGCGTAGAGGTAGGGAGCAAATATATGGTCACGCTAACCTGCTTGGGGTCAAAAGAAAGTGGATTGATAGACAGCGGATCGCAGATAACCATAATACCGCTTGAAATTCTGAAGAGAGCAAGGGATCGCGGTCAAGACATGGACCGTTTATGCACACAAGTACCACTTCCTGATGTCAACGCATACGATGCATCAGGGAACAGGATGGACTTCTTGGGCTGTGTGCAGCTGAACCTAGGCCTTGAAGGCAGAGGAGAGCACCCAGTAAGGGCGTATGTCAAGAAGTTAAATGATAACGTCATCCTATTAGGTACCAATGTTCTGCGGACCCTAGGCATCCACACTGGAATTGAACGATGCACAAGCACGGAAGATGAGGGATGTACTACAAGAAGCGGTTGGCAAGAAACGCTTCACCCAATACAAGGAGACGCTATGCCAGTCAGGCAAGATCATCTACAGGAACCACTGAGAAAAAAGAGCAACGTGGTGGCAGTTGATGAAGAAGGTCAGAAGAGTCGCGTGGAAGCGGAGGAATCTTCGCAGCAGGAACCAGAAAAACGTTCCAGAGAAGCCACCGTAGTAAAACGGGTATACGTCAGTCCAGGACAATGCGCACTCATCCAGGTGCAAGGAAATGGCCAGCAAGAGGACGCGGCACTTTGTTCAGTCAACGCAAACATTCCGACAGGTGTATGTGAATTTTCACAAAATGGCACCACGGAAGTACCTGTACTCAACCATACATCACAGCCCATAGTCTTCCAAGAAGGACAGAAGATCGGAGTCTGGGAAGAAGTTGACTGGATACAAGCGGCAACAAAGGACATAGAGTCGGACATGTTGGAAC